ATTGAGTCATTACGTCACATCTGTACTAGAGATGCACCGATTACAATTTTCTAGGCCGATCCCGATTTCCGATTTTCCTTGAGTTTGACCTGCCGATACCCATTTTAGCCGATTCCGATTTCATTTTTTCAAACCAATTTACAGCACACACAAATATTTATTTTCTATCTTCTCTTTAATAGAACATTTTGCATAGAACATTTTTTTAACAGATTATCGCTATAAAATAGAACTATATAAATTACTCCTGGTGTGGGAAATTCACACACATCTAAAGTGCAGTGTTATGGAACCATTTCCTTTTCACATCCAATATCCAACTAAAAAAATTTGATATATAGATAGATATAGATATAAGTTTTATTTGCCATTTTATTTGATATATTTAGCAAACTAAACTTCTGTATGAAAACAGGTAATGGCAATAAAATAATATATAAATATAGCCTTGCAGTACAAAGATATTTCTCTCTCTCTCACACACACACACACACACACACACACACAGGCCTATTGCAATCATGTACATCAATGGCAAGTTATATTTCTCAAACAGTTCTTCTCTCATCTGACACATGTCCAGCCAGGCTAAACAGGACAAGTGGAGCATGTGCAGGGAAACGATTGGGAAATAATAAAAACAAGTTCAAATGGGTACATTTTCTAGAAATATTTTTGAGTCTTCATTTTCTTTTCTGACATAGCCTAGCCTACTTCAGTTCTTGTTAAAACACACCAGACATGCAAATTCTGTGCATTTTGGGCACTTTTTGGATGAAATCATATTAATTTTGTCCATCAAATGTGTGCTTTCACTTAAATTGAGCGCAGCTAAAATAGACTCGGCGCCGAAACCCGCGCTTCACTGCTGCTCACGGCACGCGACGCTCCTGCTCCCGGTGTGAATGCACTCGTTGATTAACAAGCACGCCGAACAAAAAAGAAAAAACACGCTGCTCCCGCTTGCGGTGTGAAACGGCCGTAATTCACGAGGTTTACTACATGTGCGGGTTCCGTGTGCACGTGTGATGCTGATGTTGCGCGATGTTAATCATGCGGTGCCAGAGTGCATTTGACCGGCATAAAATCGGATTATGTCAGACTGACCGGCCGGTCGCCGATCATGGCCGATCACGTGAAAATCGGCCGGTTCCGGTCACCAGCCGATCAATCGGTGCATCTCTAATCTGTACACATAAATGAGTCTCGGCTAGTAGGCTACATTGTGTGTGAGGATGTTGGAGGTGGAGATTTATAGCCTTTTCTCACAGCACTTGATATAATTAAACTTATCAATTTGATGGCGGATCCAGAAAGGTTCAAACGACAATCACCAGTGACAACAGATTCACCCACTGTAAAATCCAAAAGACTTCTTTCGGACTTCGGAGTGGCTACAGAAAAAAAGAGACTGCAACCGGACCCATGCGAAAACAAGGATACATATCAGAAGGACATTACATGTAGTCACGCAATGCTGACGTTGTTAACATTAACAATTTGAGAACAAAGTTTAATTTGCACGGTTTTGCGTGATATGATAACTTATAAGCGATTGTTAGATTTAATCAGTGCGATTTACTGCAATGTCAGAACCAGAACAAATGTGGATGTTACTTACTTGTTCAGATGACATTTTCCGGTGAAAATGATTATGTTGGTCATTCTTCCAAAAAGAATAATCTGTGATTCTGAATGCCAGTATCCACACCGGCGCAGTGACTGACAGACACACACTCTCCTCAAACATTGTGTTCATCCGCGCTGTGCGGTGTCAAGGGTGTCGAGGCACAACTCACGTAAAGTTGATAATTACGCGATTGACTGCAATTGCGGATTTCGAACAGAGATGGCGACAAAGAGGAAAAACTGCGGACTGCAGCTTTAAATAAATAATAAATAAATAAATGAAATATATTTTTGAAATATATCTGTCATGAAATAACGCAGTTTTATTGTGTCTGTCTTCCAAAGTAATCAACTCTGCGTTATAATTACTTGGTCCTTTCCTTTAATAAAACTTAAGACAATACAGTATACTATATGGTTCATAAGGTTTAAAACCCGTGACTCTTGACCTCCAATTTTTATCCTTAATTAAATAACTATTATATTACAGGAATTAAAATAAAAGTATTATACTGTCGTTCTAAATATCATCTTAGAAAAGGAGATAAAAAGGAAATGAGTCTTAAATATGCGCTGGTATCTGAAACATATTTATCATTACAATTATGATATGAATTTAAAAAAAAATTACAAACAACTATTTAAACACACCCATACAACATGGCAGAAATATCTCCAGTGATTAATTACAATATATCTTTTTTTTTAAAAACAGTGATTATTAACTTACCTCGGAAATGATAACCTCAGAAAGTACATTTAACTGGCTGCTACATGTGCTATAGAGGGATGACAGATTGATCTTTAATGTATTCCTAAATAAGATATGATATAACTTGGTTGAACCAGTTGGTTTGTCTTGAGAATCCAACATCACATCAGTTGCTGTTATGATGCATCATCATTAGATGGCACTATTGCAACTCAATAGTCTCTCTAAAACAGGTCTAGTCTATCCCCGAAAGATTCAGCGGCTTCTAAAAGCTAAAGAGTAAAGACAATGAACACAATGAACAAAGACAGAGAAATGAAGGAACTAAAGCACTGTAGAAAATATGACAGATAAATACTAACTCACAACTCTTGCCAACACAAACCCTTCATACACTGTGCATATAACTCTATGTAAAATACATCATCCACAGCATCCCAAGAACATCAGATCGTCAGCACTGACAGCAAACAGTTAATTTACTAAACCTTTGTGTCTGGAGAGTCCCACACACACACATCCTACCCTCCATTTCTCCCTCATGTGTCTTTTAGACACCTCCTTTATTCTAGTTGGCATGACATCATCAGTAACCCAGGAAACCCATTGAAAAGAGAGGGACCCAGGAAATGAGGTAATGGTTCAGGAATGTTGGGAGAAAAGAGTTTCCCCACAACTGAAATCTCCCTGTCCAGAGGAGAAGAGCAAACAAAGCAGCTCTGTCTACTGCAACATGAGGTCAACAGTCCTTAGACAACAACAAAACATTACCCATAATCTAATTACAACCAATATCAATGTAAAAATCACTATTACACTGATAAACTGTATTTGCCATTAATACCGAGACAAACAATTACAAATATAAGTCTAAATATGGCCATACATTACATAAGTAAATAATCCAGGACTAAAAAAGCTGTTGATTGCGAGTTTGCAGTCAATTTCCCCAATTTAAAACCCTTGACTACTTCTCTTTTGACCTCCAATTTCGATCCTTAATTAAATATGCATAATAATGCAGGAATTAAAACAAAAGTAGAATCTTACAAAAACAGGAGATACAGTTTGCAGTCAATACCCACTTCTTGAAACAACAGGAGTTTTTAAAGTCCATTTTCAAATGAGAGTTGTACCCTTTATTACATTAACATTAGCCACTGTTAAATTACTGCATTAACTATTGTCAAGATTTAAGAAAGGCTGGATTACCTACAACAGTGTTCCCCAACCCTGTTCTTTGAGGCACACCAACACAACACATTTCCAAACTCTTCCTATTCAAACACACCTGAATCAACTCACCAGACCTGCAAAGGATGGGTCAGATAAGGGACACATCCTAAATGTCTACTGTTGTTTTGCCTCCAGGCACAGGGTTGGAAAACAATGGCCTAAAACAATGCCTACTTAGATATTTGGCTGTTGTCTAACATTAACTAATAACCCACATGGCCTAAGTGACGTTGGCTAAAAATGAAAGGATTTTCAGAGTCAGAGCAAGATCTTACATTTTGATAAAAGACAAAGACAATTTTGTTATCTTTCACAATCAATCACATTAGGACTAATCAAGTAAACATGGTCAATTTTGTCTTCATGTTGTCGAAATACTACATAAAAGTAATTAAACAGCATTAATCCATAAATATGTGTAGATTTTAAATATGTTTAAGGAAGAGAAATGATAGGTTTATGCTACAAAAAACTCTTCATGAAGGTGCTTGCGACCTGAAGACTCAAAATGACAGCATTCAGAATGGATGAGACCACAATTACAAACAAACAAAAAAATAATAGTTTGAGAATAGGGGTCGAATAGTATAAATCTCTATAATGCAGGCCTCAATCCTGTTCCTGGAGGTCTACCTCCCTGCAGCTCCAATCCTGATCAAACACAACTGAACCAGGTAATTAAGATCTTCAGGAAAACTTGATAATTACAGACAGGTGTGTTGGAGCAGGATTGAAACTGAACTGGGGGGAAGCTCTTCATAGTCAGGATTGGGCACCCCGGTATAATGCTAGTGCAGGTATTAAGCCACGTTTCCACCGCAGGATCTTTCTCCAGGAACTAGGGATTTTGGGGTGGTACTCTGTGTGTTTTGACTGCGGAAACCAGGATCTAAATAAAAGATTTGGGTAAAAATTTCCCCCTCAGAAGACTGCAGGCGAGGTAGTAATTTTTCAAAGTTTAGGAACTTTCGGGGGTGGGACTTGGGCGCTGAATACACAGATTGGTTGAGTTCACCCAGCATTTTATTTCAACCACCATTTTTAAAAGTAAGTTGCGGTGCGTGCAGTAAGAGTTGTTTGCTATTCGAATCAACAATCGAGTTTAAAAAAAATACGACCGATGGACCGATGACAATGTTCAGGCTTTATTAAGCTTATATGCGGAGGACGTAATCCAGTGGTAACTGGAAAGTCGTGCACAGTCCTACGTCACATAACTAATTTGCCCAATCTTCACGGTACTTTAGGCTGCGATGGAAATGCAGACAGCATTTCTGGGGGGGGGAAAGTTCCTGGGACAAATTGTTCTGGGTAATTTCGGTGGAAACATGGCTTTGGACAGTATTGAGTTTCTATAATAGTTTAGGATATGGGATTGATATTGTATTAGTGCACATGCTTGGCTGATCGAGGAATCAGGCTTTTAATGATGCGTCTCCAGTTCCACCACAGTCCAGTCGCCTTGCGGGGAACTGGCTTGGCTGCTGGGGGAGTAACTACTGACTGAAGCCACTGTCGCGGTGGAGCAGTCAAAGTGGGACATGATGTGTGGCCACAGGCTGCTCTCCAGAGGGCTGAGGATTCCCCCTCCCTGCCCAGGCAGGTACAGGAGTGGAGGACAGCCGCCCTCCCCGGCCAGAAGCAGAGTCTGGTTAATCAGCTGCTGGACCATGTCCAGTTTTGTGTTCCAGTCCAGCTCTTGTGGTGGCGGTCGGCGAAGGTTTCCGTTGGCCACTCTCAGCGGTAGGTCCGTCGGGATTGAATGGCCAGTCTGGTTGGGGGACCCTTGGTTTCCACCAGATCTGTTCTCCGCATCCTCTTCCTCCTCGCTGGTCTCCATGGCCTCGTAGATGGTGCAGAGTCCAGATGAGGGCGACAGGAAACACGGCGGTTGCCCTTTCACCTGCGACTGCTGTTTGACTCTCTGTTGCTGCTCCATCTCAAGCTGGCGCTGCAGGAGCTGTCGGCGTAGCCGGTGTTCCTGCTGCTGCTGCTGCAGCTGCAACTGAAGCAGCTCTCGGCGTTGCCTTTCCAGTGCCCTTTGCTGATCCTGCCTCTGCCTTTCCTCCTCAAGACACAGGCGTTGCAGCCGTTCCTGCTCCTGGCGCCGTCGAATGTGTCTCAACTGCAACTGGTGCTGCTCTAACCGTCGCAGCTGCATGTTCGGCACCAATGCAGTCAGTGGGAACCTCGGAGGAGCATCAACATGCTGGACATCGATGCGAGGCTGTGGCTTCTGTAGCTGCCTCTGTTGGTCCGGCAGAGGAGCAAGGTAGTTATTGTCATTCATTTCTTGGATTAGTCTTGGATGGTTATTATTCTCCTGTTGGTTAAGTGAAACTTCACCAGTCTGTATGTTGTTCCAGGGTTTCCCTGTGGACAGTCAAGAGCACTTGCAATATGCGTTTACTGACAGATTTGTTATGAAGAAGGGTGTGACTGAACAGGAACAGAGGAAAAGCACAGACAGAAAGAGGAACAGGCAGACAAGAAAATAAAACACACAAAACAAACAACAAATTAGACAAAACTTAATAAAGTCTGGAATCGAGTTTTCCCGCACATCCTTCCTGTAAACACCTTAGAATATTTTTAAAAACTAGCAAACCATCACATAAGGAATATTCTGTGTTCAAGACATTCAATACGGTGGCATTCTGTTGGTTACCAAAGAAAATAATTTATTATGGGTTCTGTTTGTAAAATCAAAAAAGAGTCCATGCGCCAAGTGCTCTCAAGCCAGAGATGCTGTGGATCGAGCTTGTATTTAACGTTGAATATTCCTTTCAGGTAATATTCAGTGAACAAGTTAGATTGTGCAGCTCAAAAAATGTCACCAGCAAGATTCAAGAGAGTAGTTCATTCTGACTGAAAATATTTAACTGTGTAAAGAAATCTTGAATGTTAAGCCCAAAGTATACTAAGGTTTTTTACACGTACGTGCAGGTCGCAGATGTGCACTACATTTGTTTTGCTTTAATCAGTTGTTCAACCAGGTGTCAACACTGGCCCAGGTCGTTGTTTCACAGTAGAAAACGAAACTAAAAAGACAGAACAACAACATCAAAATACCGGAGACTGCAACAACAACAACAGATGCCCGCATTGACAAGCACTTGTGTAAGGGGGTTATGAGATAGCCACAGCTTTAGTTTAAAAGAATACAGAGACATGTTTATTGGTCATAACTTCTGAAGAAAAATAGCGCAGACACTGGACAAGGATGAAACTTTCTAGAGCGCATGTGTCGACCACCTGTGCACGTGCATGCTATCAAATGGAGTATACTCAAGTGGAGTATGAAAGGTTTTGTGTTCGCCTATAAGCATACGCTACCATATATTCAAATAAAAACAAACAAAATATATTTTGGGTTTCATTCTGGAAATTCAAGTATGTAATCAAATAAATTAGGTGTCATATCTAAACCAATCCAAGGATTGGAGTGGGTTGCAGAGTGGGTTCTGATTGTTTGGAACAGTACCTGGATTAAAAATAAAAAATGTAATTTTTCACTGCATATGTACCTGAAATACATTTATAGACTACCTGAATAGGACTTAGAAATGTAAATAATCATATATAAATATAATAAATAAAAATGTAATAATAATATGATATAATATATTCATAAAAAACAATAACACACACACATATATATATATATATATATATATATATATATATATATATATATATATATATATATAACAATCTAAATAAAATGTAAAAATAATATAAATGAAATAAAGATAAAATTCCATTAATGATGGCAGTTTTTAAGGGTAAATGATACATACATACATCCACATGATGTGGTAATAACCTAAACTTGCTCATTTTTAAACCTTAAATTAAAATATTGGATTTGTGGGAATTTGGAGAGAACAACAAAATCCCTCTCTTAATGTTTGTCACCTGGCACACATAATTTCGCATAACAGAACAGACAGAGAGCTAAATGGATGATAAATTGTACTTTGTTAAATTTACCACCAGATATTTTTGATGTAAAATGACTTTTTTTGATGATGGGTGATTTAAAAAAAAAAAGAAAGGAAGTGCAGAGGAGATGGGAGAGAGAGAGAGAGAGAGAGAGAGAGAGAGAGAGAGAGAGAGAGAGAGAGAGAGAGAGAGAGAGAGAGAGAGAGAGAGAGAGAGAGAGAGAGAGAGAGAGAGAGAGATATACTGAGAGATGGAATAGGAAAAGCAAGAAAGAAAGTTCACTGACACAGGACCAAATTAACATTCAGGCAGGTTTTGAAATATTTGTGTCAAGTTTTTGTTTATGTATTAAGAGATACCATGCAACTTTATTGTGTTTGGCTTTCAGGGAGGGGTCCTGTTCTTGTGTTGAGTTTAAGAGGAATGACATGCTATTGAAGAGGGGGATTATAGACTATGAACACTGACTGTCATTTCATCAAAACACATCTGGAATAAACACCATTTCAGCAGATATCCATTTCCTGTTCAAAATAAAATTCCACAGGAGCACTCGGATGAGAATAGACCATCATGCCACTCAAAAAACAAAACAAACAGGAACAGACAGCCTTGCAATGATGTTTAATGGAATATTGTGAATCATTAATGTCCAAACATCCCCGGATGATGTCTGGAATCATATCAAGATTATAACAATATCTTAATTAGTTGCACATGCAGTTCCAATTCTTGTTGAAATGTCCCAATACTCAGTACACTGACCTGCGAGCATCATTTTAAGTTTTACAAATGCAAGAAAACACTTGAATTTCCATGAACAGAAATAGTAGTCCGTTCTGAAGTACACATGTCCAACTACTGTAAATGAAAGAATCCAGATCAATCTGAGCCCAGTACTTTAAAGCACTTAAGTTACGTGCCAATGAGAATCTATGTTATCCTTCACTAAAATGCGCAGCAGTAGCCCAAAACTAACAAAACACAACCAAAAATTGGAGTATGACTTGCCATCTAACACTCATTCACCTCCTATGTCAAACACTTTGAGAGTGAAAAGCTTCTGAAGATTATCTAACCTGTATTTAATGCTAAAACAGTTAGTGCTGGACACTGGAATAAGTTTAAAAAGACAGTAAAGCTACTTTTACAGTGCAGGAAAACTGATGTGTGTACAAACATTAAGGTAAGACAGGGATCATAACAACAAATCAAATAAAAACAAGAAGAAACAAAAACAAAGTATAAAAAATTGACATTTGATTGGTAAAAACAGTAGGATAAATACAAAGGTAGTTGAAGTCCACCAAGTGTTTATTTTTTTGCATTTTTGTCCTTTCATCAAAGGACGTTATCTTAACTTAGTCTAACATTGCAGGTTCAGGGGTGCCATGAAGCGCAGTGTTATTTAAAAAGTACATTCTAATAGAAAATGAGAATAGCTACTGTACATACACAAATTGAAGCCATACAATCATAACCATCACCGTGGTAATAAAAGAACAGAGAGCAGCTCAGACAAAGCTATAATCCCTCACCTGGCAGCTCCCCCTTTCTCTTTCCCCTTTCTATTACTTATTTCTATTAATTTCTCCGCTCGCTAACCCCACATTTGGAAGAAATGAAGGACACAGGGTGGGAGCTTGGGGTCTGGGGTAGACAAGGTGCATTCCGAAGGAGGGACTTTATACGTTACCTGCCAGAAAGTTATCAGTCTTATCACATATAGCAGAGTAGTAAGGTGGCTGGCCATCTGTATCGTCCCCATGTTGGGGTGAGAGGTGCATGGGGGACTCGGGATCCATTTCCTCCATAGAGCCTGGGTCTGTCTTACTACACAGCATGTAGTGCTCGTCAAACCCAGCATCTCTCTCTGTGGGCTCACTTATAGGCAGCAAGTCCACTGGGCAGCCCAACAAGTCATCACTGTAGGCGGTAGCTGCTGGTAGGGTGAGCTCCTTGATGAAAGAGGGATCCTTGGCCTCTTCTGGAAGCTGCTCTTCATTTTCCAAGCTAAAGATACCTGGGCTCTTTCCACAGCTCTCAGCCATGGAGTGGGCATTGGAGATGGACGCGGAGCAGTCAAAACCATAGGAGGCCACAGAGTTGGCTGACTGAGGTGTATCCCCATCTTCCTCTCCAATCTGTTCAGGGGCCTCCTCATCCTCTTCCAGGGCTGCAAGGTTGTGGGGGACTGTGGTGTTGTCATCAACCGTGACATCAGGGTCATTGATCTGCATCTCACCCTCTGTATCACTGGCCTCATCACCGGAGGTTGATGGTGATGATGGAACGGAGGCTGGTGCTGTTGCCGCATCACCCAGTACCTCATCGGCTGGCAGAGTTTCTGCCTCTGCCTCTTCCTCTTCCCCATCACAACGCTCAAGGTGAATACCAAGGTCCTGCTCCATGTCTGTATGCATGGCAGGGACTGGTGTTTGCTGCTTGTCTGATCGGGACTCTACACCTGAGCTGCTGTCATAATCCCGAAGCTCTTCAGGTGTGCTGGTCTCACTGCTACTGTGAACAGCCAAGGCTGTCCCACTGAGAGTGCTGGACTGGGACATTCCAATGGCAGGAGCAGCCAAGATACCCGACTCTGCTGGGACAGAGCTCCCAGTATCCTCTTGTATATGAGATTGAGGTTCTGATGCTTGAATTAGGGGTGAACTCCTGTCCAGAAAAGCCTCAACTGGGGATTTGGGTGGTGTATCTGGATCAGCTGAGAATTTGGTGGTTGTGTCTGGGTCGACTTGGAATTTGCTAAGTGTTTCTGGCTCTTGAAATCTTGAATATGACAGGCTTGATTCAGACAGGATGGAGGCAGGCTGGGCCAAGGGATCAGAGAATGGATTTGAATGACTCCATGCTGCTGTCAAAGGCATAGATGGTGCTGCAGCAGTGTGACCCATGCTCTTGAGATCTAGATGACGCTCTTCTATGTAATCATCATCATCATCTTCATTACTATCATTTCCACAAACTCCAAGTCCACTTTCAGCTATGTGCCTGTGGACCATTTCCACATCTTTGTCCTCCTTCTCTAACTCTTTCTGTTTCTTGTAATACTCATCATCATGCTCTAAGCCCAGATCCATGTCTTCCTTCATATTATGCTCATCTTCCTCATCATCTTCTTCATCTTCACTACCGAAAGACTGAATTCCAGGAGGCCCTGTGAATGCCTGTTCCCTGTCTGTCTCGCTCATGATGAAGTCACCTGTCTCTTTAGCACTGCAGCTGTCTTCAGCATTGAAGGGATATGTCACTTCTGAGTCATGTTTGTTACTGCTGTACATGTCATCTGACTGCATCATACCCCAATCACAGCTGGCAAAATCTGCCACCCCCTTTTTAAAGTCATCTTTTTTCTCTGTCTGGGGCACTGATTCCTTTATGCCAATCTCTCTCACCTCTTCCTCCTCCTCCTCATCTTCCTCCCCCTCTTTATCTTCCTCCTCCTCTTTCTCTTTCTCCTCTTCCTCATTATCTTCATTAATCTCTTCTTCAGCTTTCTCCACTGCCTCTTCTCTTTCTTGCCAGGGGCAGACAGGAGCCTCACTTTTGATGTGATCCACACCAGTGGAGCCCAGCAGACCAAAGTCTCCCATCACATTCTTTGCTGCAGAGGGCATCTGTATATCGTTCTGCTCTTTTTCATCATCATCGTCACTTTCTTCATCCTGCTGACTTTCCTGCTCCTGGTTCTCTATGGTCGCAGTGCTGGTGTACAGTGAAGAGCTCTGTGCCCACGGTTCAGCTGGACCCTGCAAGCCCAGTAGGGGAGCTGAGCTTGGGAGCTCGACTGGCATGAATGTTGGGCCGGTGGGAGAGGATGGTGGTGACAGTATTGTGGTGCCCAGGGGAGACACAGCAGGCACTGGTTCCTCCAGGCTGACCAGATCCATTTCAGCAGCCAGTTCAGACATGACATAAGTGTCTTTATAAGTGTCCATGCTCAGGGGGACATCCTGGGGATAGACAAGCTCTACCTCATCAGAGGTAGGAGAAATAACAGGTGTAACTGTGTCTTCAGGTTCCTTATCAAAGGCATGAGGAATCACAGGTGAAACAGTTTCAACAGGTGTCTCATAAGAGGTAGGGGCAATGACAGATGTAGTTCTGTCTTCAGGTGTTTCTTCGGAGGAAGGAGGAATGACAGGTGAAACAGTTTCTTCAGGTGCCTCATAAGAGGTAGGGGTAATGACAGGTGAAACGGTTTCTTTCGGTGCCTCATAAGAGGTAGGGGGAATGAAAGATGTAGTTATATCTTCAGGTGTTTCTTCAGAAGTAGGAGGAATGACAGGTGAAACTGTTTCTTCAGGTGCCTCATAAGAGGTAGCGGGAATGACAGATGATACAGTTTCTTCTCGTGCCTCATTAGAGGTAAGGGTAATGAAAGATGTAGTTCTATCTTCAGGTGTTTCTTCAGAAGCAGGAGGAATGACAGGTGAAACAGTTTCTTCAGGTGCCTCATAAGAGGTAGGGGGAATGACAGGTGAAACAGTTTCTTCTCGTGCCTCATAAGAGGTAGCGGGAATGACAGATGATACAGTTTGTTCTCTTGCCTCATCAGAGGTAGGGGTAATGACAGATGTAGTTCTATCTTCAGGTGTTTCTTCAGAAGTAGGAGGAAGGGCAGGTGAAACTGTTTCTTCAGGTGCCTCATAAGAGGTAGGGGGAATGACAGGTGAAACAGTTTCTTCTCGTGCCTGATCAGAGGTGGGGGGAATGACAGATGTAGTTATGTCTTCAGGTGTTTCCTCAGAGACAGGACAAATGACAGGTGTAACTTTGTCTTCAGGTACTTCCGTAGGGGCAAGTACAGATGTAGCCATTTCTTTAAAATCATCTTTAGAGTTCTCAAAGGAAGCAGGAATGAGAGTTGTAAATGAGTCTTCTAATTTCACCTCAGAGGCAGCAGGATTGACTAGGGTAAACAAGTCCTCAGGTGTCTCTTCAGTGGCAGCAGGAACAAAACCTGTAGCTGATTCTTCGGGGGCTTCCTTAGAGGTCACCACAGAAACAACAGCAGCAGCTGCAACAGAAGCTACAGCCGTGGCTGCAACCACAGCAGAAACCACATCCTTCTTCTCAACCTCTGTGGCTGCTATGTCTGCAGGCTGGGAGGCTTTAGGGCCACCCTTCAATGGCATTGGAGTGCTACTGCCAACTGACTTCTTTGGGCTGCTTGTTTTAGCACTGGGCTTGCTGCCTGTGGTCTTGGAGCTTGCACTGACCTCCTTGGAAGGTGTTCCTTTGCTCTCCTTGGGCTTACTAGTCTTAACATCTGCCGCCTTGGTGGAGGTGGTAGGCTTTTTGGAAGCTGATTCTGCCTTGGCAGTGGAGGCTGACTTAGGTGTGTCAGGTTTGGTGGTCTTGGCTGGTGCTGGCCGGGTGAGTGGAGAAGATGTGGGCTTCTTGGTTGCTGGAGTGGATGGCTGCTTACTGACATCTAATGAAAAAAGAATATAAAATTTCAAACTTAGTATCACAGCTTTAAATAGAATTTAAATAGTGTAAATACTGTAGACTGAAAGTATGTATTTTATGAAATCCTAATAAATATTTAAAACACAGTAAGAATGCTTCAAGGATTGCATCTGATCCATCTGAGCGAGCTCTTAGAAATCTTAAATTTCCTCCAGAGCGGAGAACGGCTTTCTGAAGAATCCGCTCCGCTCGCTCATTCCGCTCAGCGCCGCTCGCTCAACCCAGAATGCACTTTGGTGATTTGCTAGTTCTAGACAGTCTGTAAAATAGCTAATCACGAGTGGAGCAATAGGTCATGGAGTTCAAATATTGTTTTAGTGCAGTTGCAAGCCTTATATATAAATGCACAGAAAAATCAAAGTTAAGAACGAGCAGGGAGAAGAAATTGAAAGGGAGTGTGGTGAGACTCATAGATTCATATTGGAATCTAAAGCGGCACATTGGCAGAAAGCACGAGGATGTGCTACGCTAACATTGTGCAGCAAAAGGTGAACTATAGGCGTACGATAATAAATTAGATAAATAGGTAAGGTAGCTATTGTGTTGTACCTTGCTCTTTATATGCGAAAATTAGTTTTTATGTGCATATGATACGCCGTTTTCGCGTGCATATGATACGCACTTTATTGCGTGTAATACACACGCATCCCATAACACTAATCCTACCCAAACGTATGCTACATACGTACCCCACACCACTAATAAACCTACCCATGCGTATCATATGCATGGAAAAACTAATTTTCGCATATAAATTGCACGATAAACACATTGCATGCTATAGAGATGCATTTAGTGTGACCGGGTTGCACGACGAAATTTCTTTCCCATTAATTTAAGAATGCACCCTCTCATTTAGGCTAAATCATGGCCACAAATTAAATTTGTTGTCTGGTTTTAGTAAATTATGGCCACATTGTTGAAGTAATTTATCCTCTCGTTTTATTAAAACACGGGAACTAATTATTACAACGTGGCCATGCACGATTTACTAAACCAGGCTAATGAATTATTATATAGTATATTGTGTGTTCGCTTTAATTAAAATGAGGAAACTAATTATTAAAACATGGTGGCGTTGGGTGGGAGTAATGGATTGTTAATTCGTTATGCAATCATCATATCAGTGCAACTAAAAATAATCTATATAGCCATAGCCAACACACAAATATTATTTATGGGCATGATAATCCAGATGCGTTTTGTGGAGTTCTTTATGCATTTCATCTTGTTTTTATTTATTTTTTATGTGCCTGTTTTGCAATGGCAGTTATGTTCACGTAAAATTGAATATACTTTTTCAGTTATTGCATTTTATAGGCAAGTTTGCTAAAGGGCAATGTCATGTTTTTTTAATTGATAAAGTTAATTTAATGCATTTAAATGAATTAAAGTACAGAATGTCATATCATAACTGATATTTATAATCCAACTATTAATACATTATTTCAAGAAATCCAATACAAACCGAAATCAATTAGCCTACTACAGAGAAATGTAATGTCGGAGCGGGATCTGAGCGGGATTTGTTTTACCGGTGAGCGTGAGCGTTTTGTGAGTGGAGCGTTTGCTTGGGCTGTGAGCGTCTGAGCGGAGCGCATATTGAGCGGAGCGTCACACCGCTCCGCTTCGCTCACATGCTCTGATCTGAACTACATGCATGCGTTTATTGTATTCCACGAGGTGCCCACCTTTCTTGACAGGTGTTGTGGTCTTAGGAGTCTGAGTGGGAGTGCGACCAGCAGGGGGTGCTGTGGTTTTAGCAGGAGAAGGTTTAGCAGTAGTAGATGGTGTCTTGGGTGTAGCAGTAGTTGGTCTGGATGTAGATGTCTTGCCGGCAGTTGTTGGGGTCGCAGGCTTAGGGGCAGCAGGTGAAGAACGAGCTGCAGGAGCAGAGCCAACTGACCTGTAGATAGCAGATGTGACAGAAGAAAGTTAAAAAATCATTACAGAGGAAGACCATGTCAAATCTTAATAACAGGTGTGGCGAGTCATTAAGGCATTTTTTAAAGGGATAGTTCACCCAAAAATGAAAATTCTGTCATCACTTACGCACCCTCATGTTGTTCCAAATCTGAATGAGTTTCTTTCTTCTGTTTTGTGTTCAACAGAAGAAAGAAACGAATACGGGTTTGGAACAACATGAGGGTAAGTCATGACAGAATTTTCATTTTTGGGTGAACTAACCCTTTAAGTCTGCTCCTAGCTAGCAAAATTTTGTGGTAGGAGACTTCAGTTGCGCTTTCATGTCCAGCTAGGACAAAGACCCCAGCAGTTAAACAGAAGAATGAAAGATCACACAGAGAAGTTATAATACTAGTTTGTATGAGAAAAATTCCATCTTCCTCTTCTTATGACATTTTAGTTGTGGGTGATGGGCCATGTATCCCATCTAGGGCAGTGACTCATTGGACAGAGGTTTGTTAGTCACAGCACAGAAGGCCAGGACAGGTAGCTCAGGAACACAACCTGGAGCAATGTTAATACTAGCAAAAACATTCTCTTCAAGACAACCCCTCCCCCAGTTATCTACCCACAATGCCTCTCTTCTACCCTGCGGTGCCTGACTCAGTGGTAGTACACGTGTTTTGCCCTGAGAAAGGGATCTAGTATCTGTCCACTCTGGTCTAGTATGAGTTAAACTCGGCACACGCCAGTGACTCAATACATGTCCAGGTCAGGTCTGAGTAAACTAACCTACATCCTGTGGGTCTGGCAGGAGCTTCTGATTTCCTCTGTCTACGCTCCACTGCATGTGTCTCTCCTGTTCTAAATAAAGAGCTGGAGAGCACGAGGCTGGGCGACAAGACACAGCGAGCACCATGTAAATCTTTCATTGTGATGACTAAAAATAAGCATGGAAATCCCACTCGGGAAAAGAGTATGCATCACGCTAAAATACATGCGCTATGCATTTCACATTTCATATAGGCAATGCACTTGCAGGGATGAGATGCTACATAATTCTGGTGTCCTACATATGGAGTATCAGGTGAGAGAGTGAGCGGGTGAGCAAAAGAGAGAGAGATCCAGCAGTGAAAGTTCTGGAACAAAGAGGGCAAGTCTATAAACAGATAAACCTGACAGAGAAAACCACACATGAATTAATGCAGTGCTGTGTTGTAGCTCCTCGACCTAGTTTCACTTTACAAAAACACCTACTTAAGCTCACAACCTGGATTAGTACATTAGTCTGTGAGCCAACTTGATATTTAGGCCTGTGAACAGTTCATAAAGAAGGTGTTCAGTTGTTTTTTAACCACATTTTCAGATTTAACAATTATAAAGGATGGCCAATATATTTAATAATATATAATAATCTATATTATTTAGTTGTCAATATAAAGTAGAAGCCATCATCATAAAAATCATAATTTTGTACTGGGTCTTTAATGCTTTTTCTCTCACACCGAGTCATCCCTTCATTGATTTTACCATCAAAAAGTCATACTTAGTAGACCATAGTAAAGACACACAGCAAGTGGGAATGAAAGAGTCATCATATAACAGGTAGAAAATAATGATTTAACAGAACATTAGGGAACAATTGTGACTAGTATAGGGAAGAATGCACTATGAGATGAGAAAGACTGCGAATGAGAGCTATAGAAAAAGAGAGCGAATGAGAGCTTCTATAAAAGTCTTCCTCTTAATCTCAAACATAAAACCGATATGTATAATCTACAGTGACAGGATGACTCGGTTTAGGAAGAGCGCTCGCAGAGATTAGCAGTAGCATCATTCTCTTGGAACATAAAAGACAGAGAATGAGTTCAAGAGAGTGCGGGACAGAGAAAGAGAAACAAACAACCTCTTTATAATACAATGAAAGAATACAGTGACTAGGAGCCGTCAAGCTCCAATAAGGACAATAACAACAGTTCATATGACTTGTGCACTATATTATTTGGGTCTTTTATGGCACATTTATAGCACATGTGTGGTACTTTATTGTCCTTTCGGGAACCTAACAGCCCTGGTCAAATAACAAAAAAAGGGGCTTTCCGCTGTCAAGATGGGCTTTTAATAAAACCTGGCTGTCTATGCAGCAGAAATATGAAGAAATTAAAATCGGTGCTACGTGACTAGAGAAAACTGAGAAAAAGGGCTGTGGTATTCTCTTTTACCAAAAACTTCAACACCCACAATGCACTTTGATGTTGGCACACCCCTCTGTCGATCCGACTGTCCGTGGGCAGGATTACAAAAATGTGGAAGATAAAGCTGTAGTTTTAACAAAAGCCCTGGAGCTGTCACAAGACATTTGCTGACAAATAAACAGTGCTTATAATATTGGTGCAGGTAATATTGAGAAAGAGTGAAGAACATTGTTCGTTTACATGCACTCTGTTGACAATCTGCAAGCTAATCATTTAATTTTCTGCAAAATGTAGAAAGTCATACTGGTTTGGAGGAACATTAGGGTGAGTAAATAATGTCATTGATTATCATCTTTGAGTAAACTGTTTCCCTAATAGAAAAGGCCATTATTTCCCATTTTATCTTCACTTGAGTGTAATTTGCCGTCAGATCTGTGTCATGGTTGGGGGCAAATACAATGCACATTAAAACCCCAAAATGCACCGAAGCTTAAAAACAATCCAAGCACATTGACACACATGCATTTGCGTGAATTGCTTCGAGCTAATGGCGCGCCATTCAAGCATTTTATAGATAGCACTTTAATGATTTGTGAGCGACGGGGGAAGCCTGGAGTCTTATTGGTTTATAACCACTGTTTAACTTGCTGTTATATTTGTGAGTGACAAAACTTCCCCTGAAGCCACAGCGGCAATGAGGAAGACGACCTCCTCCTGAGCCAGTGACTGGCAGACTATGGCTGATGAGATTTTAATAAGGCACTCTGGCCTGAAGGGACTCTTTAACCTCAATAAAGAGGTTCACGTCCCTTCAGGGTGAATCCCGGTGCATTAGTGAAGCTGTGATTCAGCAGCGTTTGATGAAATTGCGTCTACCTGCTGGCACTCACCTGCGTGTCAGTTTGCTGTGTTAGCTTGATAAAGGCCAAAAGTCGTTCATCTGAATAAAATTTTATTTATGTATTTTACCCCAACAGCAAAACTGGTCTGAGTCATAGATCGTAATGTGCACATCTGCAGTGATTTCTTGGCTTGCGGCAGCAAATATGCATCAAATCAAAGATGCCTGTAAACACAAACTCCTGCACTAACTAGACAGCACACGGAGCCATTTTGTTTTTGTTTAGGGCCTGTCCCAATACCTCCCCTTCCCCTAGATTTTTGCCCTAACCCTCGTTTTTGCGCGTTCTCGTGTAGGGGTAGGGTGTCCCAAAACTTTAGGGAACAAGGGGGAGTGCTATTCTTCCCTTAAAATCAACCCTCAAAACATAGTGAGGTCCGTTGCAGGCTTAAAACTAAGTGGGAGATGAAATTCCCCAGGATACCTTGTGAGCCGGCCAAATTTTTCAAACAAGATGGTGGACACCGCTGGATAGGAACAATTGAATTAAGTATATTTTCGCAAATAAGCATGTTAAAATTTCGAAATAGGTTGGAATATGTTAGTTTGATGCACATCCAATATAGACTGTTGAGTTTTGAACACTAATGTTTCAAAATATTTCACGAAGCTATCTGACGATGTTCATGATATCTGCCGAGTGCTTCGAGAGAGTCTCCCCATCAAATATACATCTGATCTGGGTAGTTAATCTAATTTTATTTTCGATTTCGATTTTGGCTTCCAAGGATTATAAAAAGATGATAAATGAGGTAAAACTATTAAAAACTAGCCACGTTCGTCTAGCGCATCATTTTTCCCTTCACAGCGCGCTGTCATCTCAAAAGAGCTATTAAAAGCACAATGATCCGCGCAAGAGACGTTGCCCCTGTTCCCATAGCGGTGCGAGTTTGGAACGGACTGCAACTAGACAAGCAAACCAATACTTTGGGTTTCATGTCCGTCTAAACGATCAAATACACACAAAAATATGGCAAAATGACTGAATGTAAATAGTAGTAGGCTACTACTGGTAGACACGTCGACACTGCACGTGATGTAGGTGAGCACGTTTGCTACGCTAATTTGCATATAGTGGTGTCCCATTTCATAGGGAAAGATCTTCACCCCCACTTCCCTCGTTGAGGGGACTTTACTGTCGAGGGCACTCAAAACCAAGTGGAAGTTTTAAGGGGGGAGAAATGGGACAGGGCCTTAGTGTCTTTCAGACTGTGCCCTACTGAAAAGACCATGTGACTTTCTTCTGTGGAAAACAAAAAGTAGCTATTTGAAGAATATCTTATAATAGAATATTTTATAATGCTTCCATTCAGTTTCATTAAACACCATTCTACAACATTCTTCCTTTTGTGTCCCTTGAAATAAAGTCATACAGATTTGAAATGACGTGAAATTAAGTAAATGAATATTTCATGTTGGCGGGAACGATATATGCTTTTAAAATTCGAGGAAAGGAAACTATTTAAACATAATCAGCTCAGGCCACTGAGTCTCACAGCTAGACTGAATAGTGAAGACAAATGTGCATGTCCAGAAAACAGCCATGTCAAACTGCAGGAGCAGGACACCAGTGAACGGCACAGCCTAGAAAGATGCCGAAATCAGACAAGCGAAGAACACGTAAGCGCTGCAGCAAACTCAGAATCACTGAAGTGTTGTAAAGCATCCATCAAGTTGGCTGTTGGGCACTCAGAGACACGCACGCTCCATTTGGAGATTAGGTGCAGTGGCTGCAATAAAACATCTCTCGGGAGAACTAAACTCCAATGAACGAGAGCAAGACGGACAAAGAACGAGAGAAATTAATTTATGAGAAATGGTTTAGCAACAGACGCACCCTTTACCGACTAGCCCATAGCTCTTACATCAGTATGACATCATCATCAGGAAAGAGCTCATCCATTAAGGTTGAGTTACGACATAAATCAAAACTGATTCATATTCCTGGCCAGTTCTTTCATGTCTGCACTACACTTGTGCAACTAGCATGACTTGCATTCGTTCAACGCTGTTCGAACACGACCCCTTCAAACTGCTGTTTTTTCTTCATGTTTTCTTAATACTTGCTCCCTTTATCTCAGCCTGAAAAGTGTAGAATATTGTAGCACTATTTAGTTCAGCAGTCCAACTGCAACATTGAAGAATGCTTTGGAAACAGGTTTTTTTTTTGTAGAAACTGCAATCCTACATATTTTATGTAGCAATGTAAAGGTTTTAGGTGGCAAGAATACACCTTTAATGCCAACGGCATATTTTATTTATTTAAAATCCAGTAGGTACAGTAGATGCAGAATTCCCTGTACAACCTCTTCTGCTGAAGGCGTATATGCACACTACGCAAACATTCTTCACACACACACACACAAATGCAAAAAAAATTGTGCTGTGCCCCAAAACTAAGTCATATATTACTGGACTGTGAAGCAAATGTTAAATTAATATAAAGGCACTGCCCTCAAAAAAAAAGTTTTGCTATGCTGCTCAACTGCACAAATTTCATCTTCGTTGGCCTGAGGTAGAATTAAATACCTGTTAGATCGAAGATGCCCACAGGGTCAAAATAACGATACAAACACAAACTCCTGCACTAATTGGACAACAGAGGCCTTTTTGCTGCCATTTAGTGTTTGAGCTTACAGTCATAATGAGGCAGAGACAGAAAACAAAGGCTCAGGGTGGATTCCCCAGATTATCTTTCCTAAACCCAGTGCTGGAATATACTGCAGTGCTAATAGTGTCATTTACACGGTCTTTCCTTTTCAAGCAGCATGTGATGTAATCTGTGTTTGAGACAGCAGCTTTCTTTCTCTATCTTGAAATAAACGTCCTGTTCAGCTGTATGATGAGTCATGGCAGAGCTCTGTTTTTGACTTTTTATAGCATGAATATCAATAACATCTTTGATCAAATTAATCATACAAATTGTAGGCAACTTTTTACTGTCTTTAGTTGTCACCTTTGCTAGGTTACTCATAATTCTTTTCTTTTTTTTAATGATTCAAGGCTACTAACTAACTAAAACAGCAATTAATTATAGAGCTGCTTGGAACAATAACCTAAACCCTCCAAAAGAGAACTTTGACAGACCCACTTTTGTCCTTACTTTAAAAGCACTGGGGGAAAAACACTACAAACCTCTTTAAGGAAAAGAAGGTAATCAATGTCTGTCAAAATCTAAGGAGATCTGCAAAAATGTATGTATATTACATTACAAGAGTTCACATGTTACAAAATTCACACAAACATTTTTCCCCCACCCACACATAACATCATGAGTCTGAGCTCCTTTACAGGCCTCAGGATGTCCCTCATTGCCTCTATAAACAAGTAACAAAAAACTGTTCATGGCTGTCTGCAGGCATCTCAAAACGGCTCCAGTGAGCTCAATGTTATGATTCCCAGCATGACTAAGATTGTATCCCTGCATGATAATAACCATCCTAACATCTCTCTGCATCTGTCCTGGATATAGGGAGATCTGCATTATATCAGCATCTCGTTGTGTGAAACTGTCGAGACTAGTCTAAACTTTCTCTCAATCGTGAAAGAGTTCCCCCTCACAGTTTTTTTGTAATCAGGAATTTGAGGACTATGCCAGTTAATTTCCAAGCAAATAAAATTCTTTCCTGTTCAGGCTTAGATTTGATGCCTAATACTTTAAGTATTCAGTGAATGAAGAGTAGTGATTGTGAGAGATGTGGGCTGCAACGTGAGCTGAATGAGTAATGCCTGAAGGACTTTGGAAGAGAATGAACTACTGCAATGGCCCACATTGCGGAATTCTAATCTACAAAACATGGGCTGGGAGCTCAACCAATGAGACGCCTACCTGGTTGTCTTGGCGACGGGTGGCCTATCAGGTTTGGGAGAGCCAGTGGTGCCGGTCTTGGTGGTGGATGCAGTGGCGGGCCTTGAAGCTGGAGCTAGAGTGAAGGATGTTTAAGAGCATTGAACAACAAGACAAATACAGACCAGAATACATACATACTCTGTACATACCATAATTAATTTCATGAAAAAAAAAATATATCAGGGGTCTCCAACCAAACTTCTGGAGAGCTAAAGTTCAAATACACCTGAACCAGCTAATCAAGGTTTTCAAGGTTACTTGGAAATTACAGACAGGTGTGTTGGAGCAGGGCTGGAAATCTGCAGGACTCCAGAGCTAGTTCGAAATCGCACCCTGTACCCTGATTCACTATTCCCAACATTACTCCACTAATATAGTCCACTTGAAGGAGTGAATGAAAATGAGTGAGTGAATTCAGAAACTGAGTCCGCCGCTTTTGCATAGTTCGTGCTTGCTGTTTAATAATCATTTGAAACTTAGCAAGCTGGCAGCTCTAGTAGTTAGATGAAAATATTTATCTTGAACTCTGTCATGGAAACAAGCATGTATAAACCTTAATTAAACAATTTAATAGTCAATTATATTATGCCTGAATTTATACGATATTAAGCTGTACCCACATTGGACCAGCGGTTTGGAAAATGGATGTATGATTCAAGACGTAGGAATTAATTTGGCACAACCCTCACAGTGCATTATGGGTATTATCTAGATGTTGAGTGTACATCAGTAGTACACTCGTTATTGCGGTGCATTATGTGATTGAATGAGTCCACTCGATAATGTCGACGATGGTTTCGGACCCTATTTAAGGGTATAGGGGGTGATTTTGGACACAGCCCAGCTCTCCAGGAGAAGGGTTGGAGACACCTGGCCTTCACTGAACTTCAAGAATCAAGAAGCTCAGATGATTCTTCTGACTTACCTGTAGTTTTTGGTTTAGACTTCAGGCCATTAGCTGATGCAGCAGGGGCTTTCTTGATGGGCTGCGCTGTCCCTGTTGTCTTCACGCCATTGGCTGGAGTACTGGCAGGTCTCGCCATCCCCATTGGCTTCTTCTCAGCCACCTTGGTAGGGGTCTTGGTTGTGGGTGCAGTAGTGGAGCCAACTGGTTTTTTAGAAGCAGAAGTGGTAGAGGTTTTCTTCTCCGGGCCTCCTGTTGTGGTCTTTTTGGTGACACCATTAGCTTGCGACTTCTGTGCCCCGTTTGTTAGACGGCTTTGAGCAGTGGTGGGACGGGAGCTGGTCGTGGATGCCTTGATACCAGCGGTGGGTGCCTTTGCTTTGGCAGGAGCCTTCGTCTTAGCTTGGGGGTCTGCAGGCTTGTCCTTTCCAGTCTTATTGGTTGCAGAAAGTGCCTCTGTTGGCTGTGGTTCACCTTCTGTTTGCATTGTGGGCAAAGCCTGGTCCTGAGCTTCACCCACTGGCGCCACCTCGATCGCAGGACCTGCATTTAATGCTTCCATTGGCTCCATTGTTGCTGTGTCAACACCATCCGGTTTCATCTTGTCCTAGTCCTGGAGGTCCGTCTCAGCAGGAGAGAAATCAGGAACCCAGGACTCAGTGCACTAGTTGGAGTCTACTGCTATCAGTCGGCCTAAGATTGACCTGAAAACAAAAGCAACAAAAGAGTTATAGTCGGATTTGAGACTTCAGACAATAAAAAACAAGTCTGGGCAAGACAGAAATCTGTACCCCCTCTCACTGGCGGACGGACCTAAGAGAACAATCAGATAAAGAGTCAGGTTTGGTTAGCATGCAAATGCTTGAAGAAACGCTTAAGAAAGAGATTAGGAATGAGGTAAATAGCCTGCTGTGCCGAGGGAAAACAACAGCTGATTCAGAGCTTGTGGATCTGTTTAAACTGTAACCGAACGGAACTAAAGCCACACAAGATGATGTTTCCAGCTATTAGGAGTGATGGTTGGCATAAGATTACAGCTGTCATTAATATAGTTTTACATTTGGCAAGACATCCATCATAAGATTATTTTGGTGCAATTTCTTGTGTAAAAAATATCTGGGTGGGGGGATTTCTAATTGCTAACTACTAGCAGCAGCAATGCCAGATGCATTACCCACAATGCCTCACTGACGCAGATGTTGTTTGCATGATTTAAGAGCAGCAGCTCCACAGCAAAGTTCATCCAGTGGAAGAGGCCAACGAGAGGAAGTGGCTTGGCTCAAATGAGCATGGGAAAAAAATTACTGAGTAAGAGTAACACTGAAAACGCACACACTCATCTCACTCACGCACACACTCAGGCGGACATCAGTGTCACCGGACACCTCGGCCTTATTATATTCCAGAATCTTCCAGTTTTTTTCTGAGGTCGACATTCATTCCTCCACCCCTCAGACTCATTCTGCCCATTACAAAATCTCCTCAGTTAGTCCTCACACAGATGGTCCAGGCAGCTGAGCATCCCAAATGAGAGAAACTTGGGGGAGGGGGACAGAGACAGTAATGGAAAAGAGAGAGAAAGCCCCGGGGGAAAGAACCCAATTCATATATGCTGCCAGATATGAGAAAATAGACATGAAAAGATATATTATGTCTTAGACAGAGATCTATCTATGGCCATCGGTTACTGATAGGAATTGTGCACTTGATGACATTAACAATGACCACACATTGACTTGAAAGCAACTGTTCACATGGCAAATGAACAATAGAGACAATTTTTCAGACCTGCAGATTGTTCACTTTGTTCCAAAACAGGGACTTAAATTGTTACAATGACACATTCTTCTTGGTTTGATTCGGTTTTCAACTGCAATGCTCAGAATCAGACAGTGCTGCTTTTTACACACCAAATTTCCCATTATGATAGTTTGGTCCGTTGGGGGTTGGTGTGCTTTCTCACCAAAAGTGAACCACTACAGTGTTCATTTTCAATTAGGCCGGGACGACCATGTTCAGGCAATCTCGGACTGATAATTTTGGTACGGATCCGAGTGCAATTGCCATGTTATTAGATGCCTAAATGAACCCAACTACGCAATCACAAAAAGTAACTATATGGGCGGATTAAATAATGCTTTAGTTTGTAATGAAGAACATCAAAGATTTTAGCTTTATAAACAAACTCAACCACATGCAACATCGCTTCCACCTCAGAGAGCTTAAGGGCTGTTTTCCCTGATGAAAAACACCTCCTCTAGATCACATCTCTCTATTTTAATGTTGCTTATAAATACAGGCTTTGTTGCATCCGCTCTACCCCTTCTGACTGTTTTTCTCTTGCTATTGATCCAGTTAGGAATGATAAATGAGAATCAGATGTGAGAACGTCAGGTGGTGGAGAGCTGAAGAGGTTAGAGGAGTGAAACCGCCTCCTTCCGAGAGGAAAACACACTCACCATCACATGGCCTTACGACCTTAATGATCCTGCTGAGGGATATAGACAGCTTCCTCTACATGTAAACAAAAGTGACCCGGGGGGTCAGAAGCCTATGCTGTCCATCTAATTATGGGGGGAGGACCTCTTCTGACTTCTGATGACCTACAAAGTGGCTGATTTCGACAGGCAAGTATGAAAAAATTAGACTGATAAAAAGTAAAAGTTTAATCTCTTATCTGAATAAAAAAAATTAAATCATATTTATTTTTATCATCCCTCAATAGCTCATTTTTTATTGAAGAACATACAGTTCTTGAAACTTCTGAAATCCCCAAATTAATCGTGGTTAATGTGTCAGCGCTCCCAGATTGTGTTAATAAATTTAAAAACAAGGAGCTTTGTCATAATTACTGCAGAAATACCCAATGTGTCTATAGGTGTATTAAATAAATAGGGGGCCTACATGGTGGAGGCCTTCGAATATTGTGTTGGAAAATGGGGGGCCTTTGAGTAAAAATAATGATGTGCTACAAAATCTTTGTGATAAACACACTGTCATTTAATATTAAACCCAGCTCTAGGGAGCACGAGATGGAGAGAAAACGACCAGAAAAGGTAAATATGGTGGCTTTGTGACCTTACAAACATAAGACCCATCGTACCTACAAACCGTCTTACGCACAAACCCTCTTACCGACACTCCGTCACTCTCAGGGACGAACCTGCACACGCCTCGTGCTTAATGCCTCATCCAATTATCGTAACCAATCCCTGTGCAGGATCCTAATGCTCCTGAAGGGATGACTCCACTCTTAACAGCAGCCGGGCGAGAAGCACTCATCCCCTATAGACCCACATATGATGTAAACAAACACTGCATACACATACACATACACGTTGCATACCTTCTAGAAGCAGTGTTTTTGGCAGGTCTCCAGCGACGGCGCATCAGTCTTTTAATTGTCCCGCCGCTGAACCGCAGATCACTCTCATGCAAATCAGGTCATCGCCGCATTGTAACGGCAAAATGCACTTTGGCCTCTTTATCTGAGGGCAATGCACAACACAGCCATGTGCATGCATGCATGCATAAATGCATTTCTAAGTACTGCATTGTGCCTTAAAAAGTCCCCTGTGTGCAAAGCTCGCTTCTCACAATCAGCTAACCACTGCGGCACAGCAGGTGCTAACAGGCTAATGCCATCTTAGCTTTAGCCACTCCGGGCCAAACCCACATGTCTAAAAACTGAAGATCAAGAATACTGCAAAAAATCTGAATAGCTCACAATAGGAAATGTTTTTACCCCCCTTGAATCGCAATCAATGGAGAGATTGTGAGAGATGAAGCACAAATTTGCACACCGCCGAGATGCTGCATGAATCGCATGGCTTCTCCCGGCCCGTTTGCATGCACTGGGGACATCGTTGCTGGCGGCGGGCCTCTGATTTGGCGTATACTCAGAGGGCTGACTAATTTGCCACAGTTTAGGATTTCACATATCAAATCTGTCCAGCCAATTCTCCATTGTGCCTCCGCTCAGATAATAGACACTTAAAAATGTGTAAGGTTTTTCATGCATTTGAATTCCATATTTTCCATATATTTGGCACACACAGTTTTAACTAATAAATGAACTTATAACTAATAAAACTAACTTATAAACTTAATGTGATAATATATATCGAAACGTACAATTTCTCCAACGCAAATATGCCATGATTTTTTAAGTGCAGAAATGTATGTGTGACTGACAATGCATCACATTTAGATTATTAGTTTTTATTAAAAAACATGTAATGAAAATGGATGGATTTTTTTATATGAAATTCAAATTAAATCTTATATTTAGGCCTAAGTATTTTTATTTTGAGAACAGCATCTTTATGCACCCCCCACCCCGTCCGTCCAACCCCCCACCGCGTGCCCTCCGGAGGTTGCAGAAGTGTCCCTCAACCCCTGTCTATCAGTCTAATACAAGGGAACACTGGCTCTATTCAGAAAGGACCTCCACAAACAGGGGCACCGGGGCTCCTCGTCGGGGCGGGGCGGGAAAAGGGCAGTTTGCTGGTTAAGAAACACGCTAGTCTGAAGACTAAAAGGTCAAAGGGTTTTGAGTGAGAATCTGTAATCAAATTGATCAGCCATCTTCTGAGCATTCAGAATAAAGCAAGGATAAAACATCACCTCAAATCTCATATGCTAATCAAATCCATGTAAAGCCACAGCAGGGAAGAACCGTATACTGTAACTCTATAAATTGATTTACAGGGCACATTAGTGGTAAAAAATCAAATGTATGACAATTTCTATGTAAATTGATAGCTATGCTCACTGTTAGTTATTGAAGAGGTTTTTGTTTCCTCCTTCAAATATGAGCAAAACAAAACACCTCATTAATTTTTTTACGAACATTCTTTCTCCATTTAATAATTTTTTATAATCTTATGACCCCAGTCTAAATTAAAGAGTTATTAAATTAAATTAAACAACAACAAAAAATATTGTTTAGTATTACAATTTTTCTGAAACGTTACATTGAAGTATGCAAATGAGGCATCTAATTAAATATGCACTAATTTGCATACATTTTCCAAAACAGAAATCATTGAAAGCCAGGTTTAAAATTTTTGTTTAATTTTTCCGATATCAGAAAATTCAATCAATGGCCAGAAAAAAATATATATTCACCATGTTTTTAGCAATAAAACGTTCATTGCTAACATTATTCACTAAACAGTACTTCAATCCCTCCATTCATCATATAATGCTAGCCTTCTCTACAGCGGCACAAGCAAAAGACTGACTCAAGGTGTGACTGAGGCCTGTGTCACAGAACCGCTTTCATGAGTCCATGAATAGTCCATGAATAGTCTATTGGACGTTGGTGTCCATAACACAAACACAATTACATAATAGCACTCAAGAGCGGACGGCGTCTTAGACGCATCTGTGTGGAGATACTGGTTCCCTCTCTATATGCCAATCACATGACTCACTGACTGAGCCCATTATACAGCACACACGCCGAGATGAAGTTGGACGGCCCGAGGTGCATTGCAATGAAACAAGTCACCAAAGAAGGGATTGTTGGGGTGGTGGCCCTCGCGGAGGAGTGAAAAGAGGATAGAAACACAAGGAGGCGCATGACAGGACCGCTGCTGTCCAAGCTGACAAAAGCCACTATACTGCCCCCGCTGTGGAGATTGCGATCGCGGCCAGCGCATTCCCAAAACACCCTTGGCCAAAGGTTGGGAAGCCGCTCTGTCCAACACACAAAAACAAACAGATCTGCCCATTCAATGGTACAATCCGCAATCAGACCGAGGAAAGGAAGGTAGTGACGTCAGGCTGTAAGAAACCACTTTGAGACCATTACCCTCAGGGGACTTGATGGAAACAAAACCAATGGTTAACCGAGACTAAACTAGCTGTGATTGAAGAAGCTTTTCCTGCCTGAGGCACCAATTACTCCTGTGGCAGACACCTGGACAGTATCCAGGTGACGGAGAGGTAATCCCTGTACTGTAAGGAAGATTTACGTAAGGTTTCTGGAACATGTGCTATGCCTGGGAGTGAGACACTCCACGATTGTCTGAGATGCAACAGATTAGTGACCTACAAAGGGACACTTATAGGCCGTTTGCGCTGGATGTGTGCTTGCGTTCTGTCTGTTTTGTACTGAGATCCTAAAGGGGACATTGTGATGGAAAAAGCTATTGTGTTTTCCCCCTCCCCCCTCCCCCCTTGAAACTTTGCACTCTCTTACTAAACTTTTTCATTACTGCCAAGAAACTTTGTGTTTGCACGCAAAATTTTGCCTTTCCCCAAGAAATTGTACGTTAACTTGCAAAACCTAAAAGAACCCCAAGAAACTTTGCATTTCTCTCCCTTTCAAAATCCCTAGAGGGGACATTGTGATGGAAAAAGCTATTGTGTTTGCTCGCCCAAACTATTGTGCTCTATTACAAAACTTTTGACTTCCCCCAAGAAACTTTGAGTTTGTGCGCAAAACTTTTGCCTTCACGCAAGAAACTTTGTTTTCTCGCAAACTTTTGCGCTTTCTTGCTAAATATTTGCCTTAACCCATGAAATTTTGCATTCTTTTGCAAAACTTTTCCCTTCCCCCAAGAAATTGTACGTTAACTTGCAAAACATTAGTATTCTTTGCAAGCAAACAAAAAGTTTATTGGTGGAGCGCAAAACAATTGCGAGCAAACTCAAGAGCATTGGAATACAATCTCATATTTTTCCATCACCATGTGCCCTTAGTTTTGACTGTAGGTTCAATGTACACCACCAACCAGCTTTTAGTGATTTGTGAATACAGAACAATGCAAAATCAAAATGTTGAATTTTTTGGGGTTCCTGCATAATTCGCCATTTAACCTCTATATAATTGCAAAAATGCAGTATTACTTAAAGTTATTTACACATTAGTGTGATAAAGAAACATACATGAATAAAAAAAAATTATGTTTGATTTAAAAAATAGTCTTTAAATGCAAAAAGTTTTAAAAAATAGACATTCTATCTACATATAGGTTGTTGTTTTTTTCAATTGTATAGCTAGCATCATAAATAATAAGGCATTCTACAAAATTCTGGCATTTACCGCCACAAAATCAGTGATTTTGATTTTTTTTTTTAATTGTGAATTCCCGGCTGAACTGAATGTCAGATATATTTTTGTGCATCTCCTACCATAAAAGTCACGCTTTTAAGATGGCATAGCAAATGAATAACTTGTCTGTTCTACTGTATGTTGCTTCAGTCTGTCTTGTGGCTTGTGAACATGAACGCATCGGTTGTAAAAGGCCCTTAAAACAACACTGTAATTTGCAGAAATTCAATAAAACTGTTCAAATAAAAAAAACTGGAAATTGTGCATCCGTCTGACACACAACGCCAGAGAAGGTTCACATGACCAGCACCGCTGTCGCAAACCAGCGGCGGACCAACTCGGTCCCCTGGGGACAGGGAGATTAACACATGACAGAGCTTGTTAACTTGGGACAAAGCATGATGCTAATCCAGTGCGATCCTCCGATGGACACCCGCACAACGGGATGCACACAGGACACGGGCCAGATATGTGCGCCAGCATGTGTACCATGCCACCTGGCGAAGAGAATTAGAGGAGAAATTATGAGATAAGATGAGATGAGAAGGATATTGATCAGAAAGAGAAAGTGCAGTGGTCCCAGCACAGATGGGAAGTGCATTAGCAGAACATGTGGACATTCTGAAATTGGGAGGTTTGGGCGCAAGGGGGCCTTTTGACTAATTTGTAATTTGAGGAGCTGCTCGATTCTATTATCTTCAGTGAGCGCAAAAAAAAAAAAGCTAAAGAGCCAAATTACATAAGAGCTGATAAAGTCCAGCTGGTGGGGGGTTCGATCAATGGCATCTGATAGTGTGTGTTTGTTTGGGACAGCATGGCCACAAACGTCATCTGCACTGGACAATAAACGTGCCCTTCAGCAAACAGGAGGAAGTGACACTCACACCACAGGAAATGACTGTACCTATAAGAGGATTATCCTTCTGTTCACAGCTGACCGGCACCTTCCAGATGGACTCTGAGCCTCTGTTCTGACTCAACAAATAAAACTTTATAACATGCCCGTTGGAGAAATGCAAATCTTCATGAAGCTGTATACAACCAAACATTGATCTCAGCTGGTAAATCCAAAGGTTGCTGGTACAAAATCCTGCAAAAGCGATTCTCCTTTTACTGTTGTGGCTTTGAGCAAAAATATTCACCCCCTGGTTGCTCGAAACAGACTGTTTTTGTGCTACAATACGTTGTAAGCTGCTTAGGATAAAACTCTTCTAAATAATAATAATATATATATAAATGTAATTCCTCTGGTTGTTTCATGCAACTATCAACCTCTCAGATGTCTCTCATACTATTAGAAATAAAATACTATAATTACAATATTTCACTAAAATATGGTTCCATTGTTAACATTAGTTTACTACATTAGAAAAAAACCATTTACTAATTTTAGTTCATTTTGATTTCAATTGACAAACAAAAGTAACTAGTATAAATAACAATGGACAGTTGTGTATTTATTAACAAAGATTAATAAATACTGCAACAAATGTGTTACTTGGTAATTTAATATTAGTTAATGCACTAATGGGACCTTATTGTAAAATCTTACCAAGAATCACGTGGACAGCTGCTCAGATCATGATCTTGAAATAATTTGATGAGAAACGTTTGAGTTCATAATGCTTTGGCATCTTGAGCACAATTTGAGACATTGAGATCCCTTCTGAAACTCTAGAGAAGCCTATGAGATTACTGGACTATTTTTCCTCAAACAACTGCAATAACATAGATTGATATAAAAAAAGCAGACATATATTGAAGACCAGAATATTACAGAAAATTGAGATGCAACCACCCAAAACACACAATGCTTGCAAAGCGTTGTTCAT